ATGGAGATGGTGAGGGACCGAAGCGGGGTAACTATGCCTGTGGTGTAGATGGAACTGGGACACATTGACGCTAGCCGCAAAAGGTAGGAGTCAAGCAGGGAAGGTTCGGAGAAGGCGTTGGGATGCTACTTTGCGCGGCAAGCGGCACCGGCGGCCAGCGCCATATAAGTTCTGTTGTTCTACAGTTGGAAACAGAGAAATCAGGGGGGGCTATCTACATAAATCCAGGGGCCACCCGTCCTCACGTGCCCGTCACGTGCGGCTGGGCAACGGTTCGGTCCACGTTGGCCTGGCCACGTCGGCAAAATGACGCTGGCGCATTAGATTGGACCGGCAATGAACGGATAATCAAGTTTAAGGGCCCATAAATGCAATTTTAGAGTCCATGGACCTAGATGGCACATCCAGACAAGCTTATGGACCTACAATGCATTTAACTCAATAAATAATGATGTATAATTTTGGTCCAAAGGAATAAATTTTGTTAATCATGAATCGTGTTATAATGAGAATGGAATAACTGAAAAAACAGAAATAAGAATAAGTATAAAAAATAAAACCTACTGTACCTCTTTCCCTATGATGGAGAAATGTTGGGAAAAAAGCTTTCCATGTGTACCTCAGCTGTGCAAGTTTCCTATGATACACAACTCCTTGTTTCCCTAGGGTTCTTATCAAAAAAATGTAGGGCACTATCTCTTTCCCAATGTTTCCCTACCAAATTTCCTAGGGAACTTGTTTCCCTACCGTTTTTCGAACATTTTTCTAGGGTTTCAAATCTAGAGAAACCGGTGGATTTCAGTAGTATATTACAGTTTTCAAACAGTTATGTTTATAGAAATTCTGATATTTGTACAGTCATACTCTAAAATTTGAATGCATCCTGCCAGAGATGAAGCATCCTGTATTATTGGTTGCCAAAATGCAATCATTAATCCATGGAGTTACACCAAGGTATGCTTCTAGTCGCCAATCCTTCCTCTAATGATGTTATTGAGCTCACCGCAAAAGCCACTAAAGGCTCACCACCGTCGCTCAGGCGTCCAACTCTCCCAGTTAGCTTGACGCCATCCAATATGGATCTTCTTCATCAAATATGGGATAGCCTCGTCAGCCTAACACCAATTTGCCGCCTGTCCGCACCAAGTTCGAAGAGAAAATTTCTGTAATGCTCTAATCCCAGTACTACAAACAATCTAAAAGGAAACTATTTCTACACTATTTGGCCCGCCTCCACCCGTGATTTCTAGAAGTGGGTATCCTGCTGTCCCAAAGATCAATTTTTATAGTATTGCCGAAACCCAACCGCTACTAAAAATTGTTTTCCATACGACTATGACTCAAAACTATTTGTGACTAAGTGACTGATCGATACATTTCTTTTGTATTCACTTTTGTAGTATATTACAGTTTTCCATAGAAGTTCTGTCCAGTGCCATAGAAGTCCTGTCCAGCGCCATAGAAGTCAAACTAACTTTGACTTAAAGTCGTAAAAGGGTGGAAAAAAGGCTGCATGCTGGACTATATAAGGGGTGCCTTTGCTGGTTCATGCTGCATCATCGTTTCCAACTTCACTCAAGACATCCAGCTTATATATTATACTACCTGCATAATATGCACTACTGGAAAGCCGAATTTCCCTGTCGGTTGGAAAACCGACACAGAAATAGCTAAAACCAACAGAAAAATTGGAAAATCAATTCCCCTGTCGGTAGACCGACAGAAATAAAGCGACAGAGAAATAGATTTTTTGTGTCGGTGTAAAAATTTCCCTGTCGGTCCAGCGTCGACAGGATAATTATTAGACGTCGACAGGAAAATTTCGGACCACCAGGTCTGGAATTCTATCCCTGTCATAACTCACCGACAGGAAAATTAGTGCCCACCGTCAGAAAAAATAACTTGCTTCTGTTGGTTCACATACCGTCAAAACAATGCACTAGCCAATTGAAAAAAATTAAATCCATAAAACAATCTTAAATTTAATATGGATCATTTATATATCTGGAAAACTCAACAAATCATATTACACAGGGCACAAATGGCTAAATTCAATAACAAGTATAAAACAATCGATCCATGTCGATAAATACCAGGAAAACTCAATAGATCATATTACACACGCCGCTGTGCTATGTATACAAAGGTTTAGCCTATTTTGTACTACCAGCCTTTCAATACTTGCATCAGCAGGGTTCTTCCACTTCAATAAAACCTGCAGTGAAATATTCTGTTGTTAGAGATCTTGCAAATGCCATGGGACTTTAAGCAAAACTGATTTACTTCTACCAAGCAGGAACAAAAAATCATTCAAAAGAGAAAAGTACTAAACTGACCTAATCATTCAAAACAAAAACATTCTACCATACAAAAAATTCATTGCAGAGTGTAAGTTTCTATTCTTAAGCTGGGCAAATGAGCTAACTAGATAGACAATTATCAGATCACTGGATGGAAATAAGAAATGGTCGAGCTGTTTGGTAACCTTACTAGAAACTTGCTTTTGCTGGCAAGATTAATGTGCTGCCTGTTTGGAACCTTTGCCCAAGAGATGTCACACAACACTTTGCCCTTTAGGTGAGATTACTATTATCCATCCGCACAAGAATATTTATGCTTTATTACCTCTGTACATTTGCAAAGTCGATAGCTCAAGAGCCAACAGTACAAGAAGATTTCAAAGAACAGGAAAGTAGAAACTCCATCACAAGTTTTACCATCAACAAACCTGCCATTTATAGTTTGATAAAAGCCAAAATACACTATCCGCCATCTCTATGAACTATAAAAAGTCAGCTCATCTTTAGTTACTCTTACACGAGGAATAAAAAAGCATGAATAACATTAATCCACCTCAAAGTTAATATTCTCACAAGGAGCCAAATACTAGTAGTCTTAGTTCATGGAAAAATGTTTCCCTAGTACAGACTAAAATGTGGTGTACTTATTTCTTCTACCACAAACTGTCTGATTGAGTTGTGTCTGGTGCTAACTGAAGGCTTTTCCATTGAAAGAACCATTCCCCATCCAATCTGTATTATAGAAGGACATGGCTATCATGAGCAATGAAAAAGGGGCGTACCCAGTGCAGAGAGCTCCCGCTCTGTGCGGGGTCTGGGGAAGGGTGTCAGTGGCAAGCCTTACCCTCGCATGTGCAATGCAAGGAGACCACGACTCGAACCCGGGACCTTCCGGTCACAGGCGGTAAGACTATACCGCTTGCACCAGGCCCGCCCTTCATCATGAGCAATGAAAAAACTACTGAATTGTTAATCTGTCCTAATTTCCATCCATTTATGTACTCCCTCCGTTCCAAAAATATAAGTCGCTTTAATTTTTTTGGTACATCCATTTTACAATGCATCTAGATATAATAATTATGTTTAGATACAAAATGGATGAACCAAAAAAGTCAAAGCAACTTATAATTTGGAACATATGGAGTACTACTGAAATGTAATCTCTAATTCACATTTTCTCCATCTATGTATAGCATGCAAATATAGATAAAAAATGAGTCAACCCATCTGCACTACTTCTCTCGGGTCTCAATAAAATTCAGAAGACAGCCATGTCACTTTCTATTTGCCCATCTCAAGAAATGCTTGAGAAAGCAACCAGCAGTAGTGTCCCAAAGATTACTTTGAGAGTTCTGATGACAAAACTATTAGTTTATATTCTGAAACTGTACAGATTTATTGCTTTAAAAACATTTTTTAATGGGACATGGACATGGTGGCATGGTGGAAATTTAAAGAGTACAAGTTATCCTAACACAACAGCAAACTAGACTGCTTATAACAGAAAAATAGTTCATGGGGTCATTGAGCTTGGTTGTCATAAGACATTGAAAAAGAAAAATAGTTCAGCACAAACCTTGGTTCGAGGGTCAGGTATGGAAAGGAAGAACTTGCACTTCTTCCTCTCTGCATGTAACTCAACCAGATATCTGCTAAACACCAACACTGAGTTTATTATTCATGTGATACATAAAAGAAGCATAATTTGAAGGATCTTATAGATACCCATAACCCCACAGAAATTAAATGAAATGTAAAAGCAAGAGGCTCAAATTCATACCATGACCGTTTCTACATTTTTGCAATGCATGGCACCATCACTGCAAATAACACGCACATGTGACAAATAACACTGCATATACCACTAGCACAGAAATTAATTAATCGAAGCCAGCTCTCTAGATCTGCTCGTCCTCCCCCTTTCCAAAGCAAGAACCTACCCGCAGATGGAGTCCCTGGTCCCTAGCGCCAAATCATCACTAGATCTGCTCTCCTCGCCTACTCCACTGGATCTGAGGCAAATCGACAGGAAGGGGAACCCGCCGGTAGAGCTGAGCTTCGGGGCTGGATGCGTAGACGCTAGGGGCTGGGGCCCGTGCCGTGGCTCGAGGGGCACGCCGTCGCCCTCGGGCCGCGCGCGCCGCTTGTCGCGCCGTCACCTCGGGGCCGCGTCGCTGCCTGAGGTGCGCGTCGTCGCCTCGAGCCCGCGGTGCCGCCCGAGGTGCGCGCCACTGCCACGGGGCCTAGCCGCCGCCCGGATGCTTACCGCCACCTCAGGGCTGCGCTGTCGCCTAGGAACGAGAGTAGGGAGTGCGTGCACACGGGAGAGATGTGCGGCGGCTGAGATGAGAGGAGGAAGGGAGCGGGCAAGTCTAGGGTTTGGGTCACGCCACTTATATGCGCCCGCCCGCACAAGCTCTCTGTTTTTGGGCCAGCGGAAAGGCCAGCGTAGGCCAGGCCCAAGTTAGCTGCGTCTTTCGTCCGTGTCGTTCAACTAAATGGTTTTTTCTGTCGGTATCAGCATAACACACAGGAGAATATGACATTTTTTCTGTCGGTTACTCAAGAACCGCCAGAAAAATTTATTTACCCTGTCAGTTTTTATATTTTCTCTGTCGGTTCCGAGCCCCCGACAAAATTTACGTAATTTTTCTGTCGGTTGGTATTAAACCTACAGGAACATTTTTGTTTCCAGTAGTGATGGCAACTATGAAAGCTGCAACCCTGACCTTTAAGGTCCTTGTGGTGGCCTTCTCCTTGCTTATGTTGGGCTGGTCACTCACGCCCAGCCATCGTGCGGCAGCCAGGGTGGTGGCGGGACATGCAGCAACAACCAGTGCTGCAGCCAGTACGGGTATTGTGGCCTTGGCGGCGACTACTGCGGCAGTGGGTGCCAGAGCGGCCCATGCTACTAGTCAGGCTGTCCTCCGCGGGTCACATATGTAAGAATAATATGGTAGACCTGTGCATGCAGCATTGTATCTCTGATAAAATAAAAATGCTGCTACAATAATAAATATGTATACTTAAACTCATGTACCGTGCCAGCGTACATGCCTATATAAATGATGTATGAATAAAGTTATGATGGTCGTTCTTGCATCATGCATGTGTGTGATGAATTTATCTTGCCAAAGATATATTACCACATCGTTTGCGCATGTTGTCTATTACCCTATAATAAACTCTTTATTTGTTTTTTATTGAGTTACGGTTCTCCAATAGCAGTGCAATCAAATACTATCGCTACAGAAGTTTTAGACATAAAAGAAGTGACATATAGCGACTATTTTTTTTGGCAACCTAACAATTGCAGAAAAATAAACACCAACCAAATAAATTAACAAGCAAAACTGATAAGATTATTATCTAAGGGTTTCATATATATCATTACAAGCTTAGGCAACTGAGAACTGTACCTCAACAAAATCTTTTAGTTTAGGTGATATAGTGCACCACACAAAGTCACAACTAGCAAATGAAAAGGGACAGGATAATCCTATATACCTGACCATTTTTTGTATTTTCAAGAAAATACAGTAACAAGATGGGATGGACCAGGACATTGGTGAGCTGAACAGTTCGACAGGCAGTGCTAACTTTTTTTCAAGGTCAACGGGGCAAAGATCCCCACCTGATTTATTATACGATAATGATACTACTCGTGCGTCTGTTCCTCTAGACGCCACCTCCGCGTGCCGCTGCCGCTACCACCAATACCCGGCAGCCTTAGAAAGGGAGGGGGCCCGGCGGCGGTGGCTAGGCAGGCGGTGGCGACGGTTCGCCCAGTGGCGAGCTCGGGGGCGGTGGCGTCATCGAGCAGGCGGGGCCGAACATCCGGTGGACGGTGCCGACGGCGGGGTGACAGGAAGTTGAGGTAAGTTGCTGGGATTGGGATTAGGAAAGAGCGGTGGGGGTGGGTGGCCGGCGGTGAGGTTGCCGGCGGCCAGGGAGGCATCCGAGGTGGCAGCAGGCAGGGAGGAGGTAAGTCACCGGGATTGGGATTAGGAAGGGCGGGGAAGGAGCGGCGGGGGTGAGCGACCGATGATGAGGTCGCTGATGAGGTAGCCGGCGGCCAGGGCGGCGTTGGAGGGGCGGCGAGAAGGGAGGAGGAGGGCGTCCAGACACGGGCCTCCGTCCGGACGTCCGGGCGCTAGCATTATCGATATGGTGGCGCAAAACGGCTCGTCTGATAGTGTTAGAGGCTTATAATTTTTGCTAACGCCACACAGATGGTGGTGTCGCTGGGTGTCTGAACAAAAGGACACCATTTGTCATCTACTTGTTTCTTCTTCCTCGCTAGCCTGGCGTGCCATTGCTCGGCAGTGGCTTTACAAGCTCCAAACACCTGCCTGATTGATGCCCTTTCTCCTCTGAATACGAACGCATTCCTTGCTTTCCACAGCTGCCAACACAGAGAGAGCGATGAAAGCTGCAAACTCTTCTTGAGGCAGGTTCCCTGGGCGTTGTAGCTTGTGCAGGTCACGCACACTTTGCCCTGGAGGCATTGTAAAGCCAATCTTTAGCCAATATTGCCTCGCGATCCCACAGCCGTGAATTATATGCTAAAAAAGAAGCCATCAAGGTCAAGGACGATCAACCAGAAAATTAGAAGCCATGTCGGAAGAGCTGGTAACCAATTTTATTTTGACTTTTTTCTTTCGTTCATCTTCGGTTCCATCTAACTATCTTCACTTCTTGATGGGAGACTCTTTGGTGGTACTGACGTGACATACAAAATCAGACATCCTATTACCTTGAGTTTCACCTTATTAATTACCGTGAAATAAGCATGTCATTTCATTTTTTCCTTTCGCATAATTAATGATATATATATGTGTAGCCACGCCATATCATTCATTACCAGCTATGTGTTTTTACCATACAAGCTTCCCGAGGGTGAGGAAAACATTGCTCATTCGGTTTTTTCGTGAACGACGTTGACACGTTTTTCATTAAAGTGAGAAAAAGTGAAAGAACAGCTTACACAACGCAACTACGGGAGAACCCATAGTGCAGGATAAGAACCACAGAGTAAGTGGTTAGGAACCTAAACAACAACAGAAAAGAAAGAAATGCAGTAGGGGTAGGACCTTCATCACAAACCTAACCGACTGGACCTGCAACGTAAAAATACATCAACACAAGGTTGTCGACATAGGAGATGAAGCCGTGGTGGCAAAGCATCCATCGAGAAGAGATGATACTATGGCGGCAAAGTATCCGCCCGAGCACGAACATCTAGTAGAACGGCGGCAAAGCATCCGCCAGCGGCAACGCAGCAAAGTATCCACAAGTAAGGGGTGGTCCCGCACTCAGTAGCAAAGTATCTGCCTGAGACAGGTGATCGAAGCGACGTCAGCGGCAAAGCATCCACCCCAGCAGCAACGACGGCAACAAAGCATCCGCCAAAGAGAGCAACAACGGCTAAGTATCCACTGGGAAGAACCAAACGACTATGGCAACATCAAACACAAGCTGGGCAGACCAGAGAGAAGACAAGGTTGAAGCACACGCAGACACATCACAACAAGAGCAACTCTAACGAGAGAAGCGGGAGGCGGAACACGGACACGGCTACAGAAAGCGCTTCAACGAAGCCTTCAAGAAGGGGCATCCGCAGACGCCAACTACGTTGGGAGAAGCGCACGAGAGTGGGCTTCCGTCCCACAGCCTGCCCAGCGGCATGCGCAACGAACCAAAACTTCGACGACGCCTCCAAGAAGGTACATGGCGTTGACTGCACCACCGTCGCCGCCCCAGAGCAAGAAACCGGGCAAGGTTTTCACCCAGAGATGGTTCGACCCTAGGCGATAGGGGAGTCACCTTGCGGATAGGCTTCGGGCGCCCATGCCAGGCACCCAGTCGCCTGCCGAGCCACACTACCGGAGTGGGGGAAGGGAGACCACAGGGTGCCACCTGTCCACCCTCCAGCACTGGAGTACTCACCGGCCGCACTGCCGAAAGTGAAGACACTCGAATGGGTAGGCCAAGGGGGGTGGCCGCGACCCGAACCACGTGGTACGCGACGCCGACCAGCCATCGCGACGACCCCTAGCGGAACCAATCGCGGGCTAGTTCGGATCCTGCAGACCAGCCACAACCGGAGAGGGGAACCAGGCCGTCGTACCACGCCAACCCCTAGATGGTCCCCTCTCCAGCGGAGGCGAAGAGGGGCCGAGGGGGTAGCGGCGTAGCTCCGCCCGGTGCGCACCCGTGGCAAAAGCTTGGAGTGGATGTCCTTGGGCACGGCGGCGACCATGGCCACCAGCAGGAGTGCCCGACCAAGGCAACCGCGCCACACCAACCTCCGTCATGTGCACGAATCCGTAGATCCAGGGTAGGAGAGGCGAGATACGGCCCTGGGTGCCTAGATCCATCACGCTGGGCGCCCGACTTGTTGGAGAAGCAAGTGGCGGAGGAAGAGGGTGAAGGAGTGGGGGTGGAGGGTGGGGGCTACGACAGGTGCCCATTTTTGCAGGCCGTCGCTAGCCACCACCGCCGCACACCTGAGGGCAGCGTTGGAGGGGCGCTTGGGCGGCGCCGGCTAGTCGCCCCGAGTCATATATGTGTCCTTTACATTACTCGGTTATGCCTCATTAATTTTTGTCTAGAAATGAGCTTTCAAGAAGTTAAATAATTTCTCTTTCAGATTATTCAATTGGCCAGAAACATATCGGCTTTCACACCCTTCACCCTCTAACCAATTCATCATGCCGGACTACTCCACCTAAATACTAGCACAAGCACAACACGTCAATAAACAATGCAATATTCCTGCCCCTATACCACCTAATAACAACCGACATTATGAAAATATGAAGTAAAAACCACATTATTCATTTATTCTAATGAACTTACTTTACGAATTGTTCAAGTACTACATAGTCCACGGCAAAATAATCTACTGGAGTACTTAATTAGTATTTACTTTGAAATTTTGATGTGTCTTCTTTGAGTTGTTGCTCAAAATTTCCACAGCAACATGCGGAGAACTTATTTAGGCCTGTCAAAATTTTCCGCGGCAACGCGTGGAGAGTTCACCTAATATAGTGTTTGTTCTTCCCCCAATAGTAAATGTATAGTGTGTACCATAAAAATAACAAATTGAAAGTTGACATCTAGAATAATAACACACATACCCCACTGTCACTAAATAACTGTCGTTTTCGCTTCCCAAGCATTAAACTCTTTTAATTTTGACCAAATATATATAAGAAAATATTAATATTTATATTACATAATAAGTATCATTAGATACTCCCCTGTCCCAAAATAAAGGTCGTTATGGGATACGTGTAGATCAAATTTTTTAACTTTGACTGGTTCGTAGAAAATGCGTGTAACATTTATATCTCCAAATAAGTTTATTATGAAAATATATTCAACGATCTACCTAATGATACTAATTATGTATTATAAATATTAATATTATATATATATTATCAAAGTTAAAAGCGTTTGACTTCTTGGAAAGTAAGAATGACATCTATTTTGGGATGGAGGGAGTAGATGGTTGAATCTATTTTCATAATAAACTTATTTAGAGATAAAAAAATTATTAATATTTTCTATAAACCCATGTCAAACTAGCACGGATACCATAGCCATAGTTGTTTAGGAACGGAGGAAGTAGTTAAATTTCTGATTTAGTCCGAACCTAGAATGAAAGCATAACATTGAAAAACAGTGATGGAATCCTCCAATCCCGATTTCATCTTATCTCCTAGGCAAACACAGCCTCAATTTTAAGGCGAAATTCCCTGTGTGCCATTAAAAAAGATCGTAATGCCCTGTGTGTCTCTAGAAAAGTTCAGCGGTCTTCAGCGTCACTGCTCCAACTTTTTTGTGCCCTCCATGCCACTGTCGTCAGTTTAGGCTATAACGCTGTCAAACTGCAGATGTGAAAAGTTAAAAATAACCTTAAGTCTAAATATGTCATTAATTTTTTTAGCATCTTAACGACATCAAATGAAAAAACTCAAAACTAGAAAGTTATAGATCTCATCGAGATCTATAATTTTCATATAAAAATTATCTTCATTTAATTCCGCAAAAAAATATGATTTGATATGATTAATATATCTTAGAAAAATCATATCTTTTTTTACGGAATTAAATGAAGATAATTTTTATATGAAAATTATATATCTTGACGAGATCTACAACTTTCTAGTTTTAAGTTTTTCATTTGAAAGTCGTTAAGATGCTAAAAAAATTAATGACATATTTAGATTTAAGGGTATTTTCGACTTTTCATATCTACAGTTTGACGACATTAGAGCCCAAACTAACGACAGTGGCATGAAGGACACAAAAAAATTAGAGCAATAACGCTGAAGACCACTAAACTTTTTTATAAACCCACGTGACATTACGATCTTTTTTTTTAAGGGCACAAGCAACGGCCCACGCCCAAGCCTCCACTCCGTCCAAAACCCCGCCTTCGCAGCCATGCTTCGCCGCCTCTTCCTCCACCACGCCCGCCGGCGCCTCCACTCCTCTGGCACCGCCTCCTCCATTCCCCTCTCTACCCCAACCTTCGCTATTTTTGGCGCCAACACCGGCGTCGGCAAGACCCTCGTATCCGCAGGCCTCGCCGCTGCGCTCCTCTCCTCCCCCTCCCCTTCCGTCTCGTCCGTCGCCTACCTCAAGCCGCTTTAGACTGGCTACCCCGTTGACTCCGACACGCGCTTCGTCTTCAACAGGGCCCCCGCGCTGCTCCACGCCTCCCCCTTCCCCCGAGCCACCCGCCTCGTCGCCTCATGCCGCACCCTCTTCCCGTCACCCGCCGTGGAGGCCAAGGCGGAACCCCTCCACGAGAGCCAAGAGAAGGTGGTGACCTACGGAGCGGGTGCCGCGGAGCAGACGAAGGTGCTCGCGTGCTGCACGGCGTACGCGTGGCGGGAGCCGGTGTCGCCGCACCTGGCAGCAGAGAGGGAAGGAATGGCGGCGGGGGATGATGAGGTCAAGGGTTGCTTCGAACAGTGGCTGCTGGAGGAAGGCGTGGGGGAAGGTGGGGAGGTGTGGAAAGTGCTGGAAACTGCTGGTGGCGTTGCCAGCCCCGGTGCCTCCGGTATGCTGTAGTGCGACCTCTACCGGTGTGCTTGCCTTTCACTCCTTGCAGCTTGGCTATTGATTTCATACACATGCCTTATTTCTTTGCTTGATTTTATTGAATTTGGATATGATGTGTCTAGGACAGAATGGACAAAAATGACATTTGGGTTTTGTTTGTTGCCTGTGGTGGTTGTGCTTGTGCATTGCAATTCAGCATCGTGATAATTGATCTGATGTCCATGCATGTTGCATATACTCTATCTGAAATATAGTTCAATGGAAGCATAATTTAGTAGACTCTTGTATGGAAATCATAGTCTTAGTGGCATTCCGTACAGCCATATCAATTTTTAGAAAAAAAAGGAAGTTTATTCCGGTCTCTACAAGAGTTTTGCACACAACCAATTCTTATTACAGTTCCAGCCTCTTGCTGTTTTTTTAGCTCTCAAAAAGCAAAATCAAACAAAGGGATGATTGACTAAACACTAACCCTTTTCAACGACGACCATCCATGCTTCGTGAATATTTCTATAGCCACAGTCTCCATCATGCGACATGCCCAGTTCAAAAAAGGCCTGTCGCTCTTCTTCTACAGGGTGTTCCAGTGGTAATTGAAAATAATAGTGGTTTTCCCCAACATGGTAAAACCCAATTTCATTAACAAAGCAACGAAATTACAATGTTTGCAAGTTTGCAGACATAACTTCCTGCCAACAACTTCCCCATGCCCATGCCTCTGACCACCAAGGGATCAGCCGGCACTGGCCCTACTGAACACATCAAGCAAGACAACAGAACAAACAATGTTCGCCAGCAAACACCAACCCAAGTATGGCTACTTAAACTTTTTCCGATACAGGCCAGGGGCACTGCCATCAACATGCAGGCTGGAAAATAGGACAACTACAGAAGACGATCACCCAGCACCATGAATGATGAGTTGCTGGTCATCTTGGTCGTCTTCCTCCGTGACTTTCTTGTGGAAGTAGAGTGACATCGCCTTCAGGCTCTCCGCTCCTTGCTTCATTTGCCTTTCCATGTCTGGCTTCTGCAAGCCTGCCCAATAATCAAGAAAGGAGCACATCATACAGATAATCTCAGTAGGAGATTTGATTCATTTGTCCTCAAAACAAACAGCATTTCTTGTGCACCATATTGCCCAACAAAGAGCCGCCAGCCCCACTGCATATACAGGTTTACCATTTGGTGAGCTAAGCTTGATCCAAACCCAAAACTGATCAATATTACAAGGTCTGCAACTGACTCCAAGGGCACATGCCATCAGACTCCAAATGTATTTCGCCGTCGGGCATCCAAAAAAGAGTTGTTCCACCGATTCCTTTTCTGTACAAAAAGGCACAGATTTGATGTCCTTTCCAATTTCTTTTTGTGAGGTTATCCTTAGTAAGGATAGCGTTTTGAAGCCGAAGCCACATAAAGAATTTTCAGGGGGATTTGGGCTTGCCAAATATGTTTAAAGTTTTGACACCAATCGTTTCGACATAAATGTTTATACACTGATTTAATAGAGAAAGTTCCAGATTTTTCCCAATCCCATTTTGCCTTATCCTTCATATTCACATTGCATCTATATAGGATGTCATGTAATCTCCTAAAATGGCTCTGTGGATCCTCCGAAAGGCATATCCTAAAAGCTAGCCGCCAATTTCTCATTTTTATGGTTGCAACTGAGCAAGATTGCTCTTCATTGATCTCATATAACCTTGGAAACTTGTCCTTAAGGGACACCTGCCCACACCACTTAGAACACTAGAAGCTTGTGCTTTCCCCATTACCCACAAGCATGATTCTCCCTCTTAAGTAGATATGTCTTACTTTAAGCAAATCATTCCACACAGGAGAATTGTTGTTGCTTTTTTTCAGCTGGGAAATACCACCAGATTTCATGTATTTCCTTTGAATAATATCATGCCAAATACTGCTAACATTTTCCACCTTCTGCCACCATTTACAAAGCAAACTAATGTTCATTGTTCTCAGATCTTTGGTGCCCAATCCTCCCTTTTCTTTGGATTTGTTACCTTTACCCATTGGACTAGGTGATATTTCTTTTTTAGCCTTCCCCCTTGCCAAAAAAAACTTTTTCTAGTAGTGTCCATATTTTTTATGGTAGAGATGGGTACGAGATACATAGACATGGCGTCCAAAGGCATGCTACTTAGGATGGAGCTAATATCCCCCCCACACACACACACACACACACAAAAATAGAGAGATCCTCTGCCATCCATCTAGCCTCTTTACCATCTTTTCCTCAATTGGAGGGCAGTCAACAATATGTAACCTGGTTCCAGAGACAGGGACACCAAGGTACTTGATAGCCCATTTACCAATTGCACAGTTAAACATATTAGAGAAGTCAGCCATTTTGTTCATGTCTTGGCTAACCAGAATCACCTCACTTTTTGAAAAGTTAATATTCAACCCAGACATGGCTTCATTACATGTATAAGAGCAGCTTTTCCATTGTCATCTTGAATGCAAAGAATGGTGTTATCAGCATATTGCAAAATGGCCACCCCATTATTAATATATTCAGGGACTAACCCTTTGATCAGATTATTGCTTTGCGAGGTTTGCCATCCTGGCTAAAGTGTCTACAGAGATATTATATAAAAAGGGGGATAAGGGATCCCCTTGTCTAACTCCTTCCTAGTTTTAAAATAAGCCCCCTGGATGTTGTTGATTTTGATGCTAAGGGTCCCAGAGGTCATGATCAGCTTTATCCATTGACACCATTTTTTATTAAGACCTCTCTGTCTGAGACATTCAAGCAACTGTTCTGAAGTTTACTAGGCTGTATACTGAATATTTCAAAGAGGTAATACAAAGATTCTACAATTGTATGCAAATAAGCCTAAATTTTAGTCAAATTCAAACATCTTGAGTTGTATGATGCAACTTGACTCCTTAAAAATCGCTGCCAGGAATCCCTATATCTCATTCTTTGTTTCCCTCCCCATGTTGTCACTGAGATTGCCTGAAGGACATAAAAATTATTTGTGTCTATGCTCTGGCCTTCTCTTGCTTCGACAGATTCTGATTTGTCTTTAGGTGAGGATAAACAAATGACTGTTCATGCACTGGAGCAATTCCATGTTATCAAAGCTCAGTAAACAATTGCATACTCCAGTTTCTGGTTCTGGATATTATCTGGCTAGTTTACTATTGGCAATTAATGATTCCTGAATTGTATTTGTTGAGCTTGTGAATTCGTTGAATAAAGCTTGTGATGTTCTGCATATTATTCTCTTCATTTCTTTCCCTTCTTTTACAGTTTAAGTTTTTTATGTAAAATAACTGCTAGGTCAAGCGATGGATTAAAAATCAAAATGCCTTAACCTCTTAAATCACCTTCTGATGTTAACTGTTAGCTTGAAGCCTTGGACACTTTAAACGTCTCTTTGTTGAGTTGATCTTTTAGCTGGCTATTATTGATTTGTTTCAACTCTTGACAGGCCTTTTAGGTTACCTGCTATTCTGGTTGGAGATGGCCGTCTTGGTGGTATTTCATCCACTTTGTCCGCGTATGAAACTTTGTTGCTAAGAGGGTATGATGTGAGCGCAATTATTTTGGAAGATCGTGAGTTATCAAATGACAAATTCTTGATTTCTTACTTGAGAAACAGGTTTCTATTCATGACCATCTGTTTAATTCTATTATTTTATTAAATGAGTAGTTCTGCTGCTCTACTTCTATTTATGATAGCTTTAAACTCTATTGATTTTGTTGTTTAGGGTAAATGTGCTTACCTTGCCACAAATTCCTGAAGATCCTTCAGATGACCTGACTGATTGGTTTTCTGAGTCATCCTCAGTTTTAAATTTTCTTAAAGATGCCCTGCAATCATTTCATTCCAGAAGAATAGAGAGGTTAAACAGCATGCAAATAAAATCGAAGGATTTATTGTGGTGACCTTTTACTCAGCACAATCTTGTCCCTCAAGATTCTGTTACAGTAATTGATTCACGTTATGGTGAGAATTTTTCTGTGTACAAGGTTTGTCCACTTTCTAGTTCTACTCTTCTCTCTTCATTATTTCTTCAAAAGAAATTTGTAATGAAGTTCTGGTTGTGCAGCAAGGTTGGCTAACCATTATATTCATTCTCTAAATCTTTGATGTAGATTAAAGGCAAAATGCTCGTCCCTCAATTTGATGCATGCGCTCGTTGGTGGACTCAAGGGCCTGATTCTAACTTGCAGGTTATGTTCTCACATTTCCTGCGTATGTGATTTATTTTGCTACAACAAGAACTCCCTTTTACATTTTTTATTGTTAAAGTTGTGTATTTTAACTTTTGACAAGCAATTTTATAGCCTAAACTTGTATACTGGAACTTTTGACAGGCAACTTTTGTAGCCTAAAGCCCTAAACTTCTCTTTACTCATTAGATTGAACTTGCAAGAGATATGGGTTATGCTGCTGCAAGATATGGTCATGTGATGTTTCCAGAGAATGTTCATGAGCCTGCTCTTCGTTCTGCAGAAGTTTTACTTGGAGGAGTTGGTAAAGGTTTGTCAATTTAGCTTTTCTTCCACTGACTGTAGCATTGGCTCAATTCAAACTCAATGGTACTCTATAATGAATTTGATGTCATATTATATGAAAATTGACTTTTTTCAAGAAAAAAAAATTGAAATTGACTTGGAGTTTGAACTATGTCTCACCTTCCAAATTCTCTTCCTTTTCTTGGATATATCTAGAGCTTATGTGCCTGATGATCTGTTATGTTTACCTCAAGAAATGAGACAATTATAAGGATGTGTATGACTGTATGTGAAATGAGACATGCTTTTATGGGTCATATCAATAGTTTAACCTTGTACAATATTGTTCCTTTATTTCAATATTTGTGTTATGGTTTTGTTTTCTTATTTATTTCTTGCAACTCTATCCACGTGGCTGATAGCATTATATCTTTTCGTGTGCCTATCATATTTGTGTTGGCTTATTTGTGTCACAACTTCCCCTCTTTTTTTCTCAGGTTGGGCTTCTCGAGTCTATTATTCAGACCATGGATCCACTGCGATTGAAATTGCTCTAAAGATGGCATTTCGTAAATTTTCTCTTGATCATGGAATTATGGCTGGCTGTGAAAATAGTACAAGAAATGAAAGAAACATTCAGTTGAAGGTATATGACGGCCATACTAAACATCCTTGTCTTCCTTACTTAATTATTGACTGAACTACTAAACAGTTCACAGTCAGAGAATGATGTTTTTTGTTTGTTCTTCACGACCGTCAACCTCAGTTGATCATCATAACCCCTGTGTTTATCTCATTTATTATATTTCATATATGTTTTAGTATTTACAGGGGACAAATTAATATAAATGTTGTATAAATAACTGTAAATGCCCATTTTGTGCATCCTAATATATTCTTAACCACTGATTCCTCTCTAGGTACACGCTCTAAATGGTTCCTATCATGGTGATACTCTGGGTGCTATGGAAGCTCAAGCTCCATCAGCTTATACATCTTTTCTTCAGCAACCATGGTAATGAATTTGAGCACTGTAGTTACTATACTGAATGTTTTTAGACTTCTCTACTCTTCTTCAGTTCTCTTTCGGAACTGTGCCCTTTTTCTGTCACTTCACTATGCTGATTGTCTTGGTGTTTATACTCTTCTTCAGTGGTTCTCTGTGCCAACTGTGGTCTTTACTGGACCAGCCTTCTCTTTGATAGCCTAATAGGATTTTCTTTTCTAATTTTTTTGAGAATTTAGTAAGACTCGACCACTCCTTTTTTTTTGGTTGGTTATCATATCAGTAAGTAAAGCTGAGATCAGTTACATGAGGTTTCTTTTGTAGGTATTCAGGTCGGGGACTTTTTCTAGATCCTCCAACTGTGTATATTAAAAGTGAAGTCTACAATATTTCTTTGCCCCAATCAATGCAGCATGATCCTCAGATATATGGTGATACATGTCAGTTTCTTGTGTTTGACACATCAGATCTAATTCCTTGTGGGTGTTTATTTAATTTGTTCGTCGATTGAAAGTGCAGGCTTTTCTTCACAAGCTGAAGTCTTTTGCAAGACCAGAACAAAACATTTGCTGCTGATTTATTTTCATCCTATATAAAACAGAAACTGTTATGGTCGGCAACGTCTACCAGCCTCGTGCCAAGAGAAGTGGCTGAACGGTGGACCGTGGCGAGGAGCGCCAGCGCGTGGTCACCAGCCAGGCGCGCCAACCGCGTCGCTGTAGCACCCTAAAATTTGAATTTTTGGAAATAGAGCTAAAATGCTTTAATTATGAATTTTTGGTGCTCATGAAACATAGGAAAATAGTATTTTTTATTAAATTAAAATTCATCATAAGGTAGCAACATGGTTGTGCATACATGCTGTTGTATAGTATTTCTTTTGTATTGTGTGGTTTGAAACTAAACTTCAAATTGCTTCAAATGGATTTGAAAATGCATTTGAAAAACACTTGAGATAAAAGATAATGGAATTTCCTCTCCATTCCTAGCTTTTGGCCCAGTTGGCCCAGTGGACAAGCCCACGCGGAGTTTTCCCTTCCCTCTCTCCTAGGCGCCGGCCTCACCCCACGGCCTGCTTTCTTCTTCCCGCGTGGCCCATTTCCCCCTCTCCACCACCGGCTGGCCTAGCCAGGCAGCAGCCTAGCAGGCCAAAACCGTGCAGCCGCCCACATTTTCCCTCTCGCTGTGACTGCCAAGCTAGCCCCGCTCGTCAGCGTAGTTCGTCTTCCTCTCGTCGTAGCGCCGGACACCGCCGAGAGTCCATGCTGACCACGCGTGCTCTCCTTGCCTTGCGCTCCACGATGCCTCCCGGCCTTAAATAGCAGCCCCACTGTGCCGCCTCCCCTCACGTTGCCGAAGCCGCTTTGCCTTGAGTTCGCAGCGCCGTCGTTGAGCTAGACCCTAGCGCTGCTGTTGCCGTCGCCTTGTGGAGCCGCACGCCGCCACGAACCCGCGTGAGACAGCTAGGTGAGCTCGCCGTTTTCTTCTCTACTTCCCTAAGTCTTCTGTTGGAGCAACCGATTCCGGAGTCACCGTTCCAGCGAGGAGCCGAGACCCCAGCCATGGCGCCGTCGCCTAGAAACAATGCGCTGGCGACCTCATCTCTCCCATTTGCTCACAGTCGTCCATCCACCGATCTACGGCTGAAATTAGAACTTACCCCTTCGGTCCACCGCGAATCGTGGACGGAGTCCATCATCGGTCCACAACCACGTCAGCAGGTCCACCACCTTGGATCAACCCGCGACCGCCACATGTCGCCGTGCGGCACACCACGCGGATGACGACCCAGTCAGCGCCGACCGTCGTCGTACCTTTTGCACAAAAGCCCCTGCAATTCTTTGATTTCATACCTGTAGTCCTTCTAAGTTCAAAAATAATTCTAACTAAGTCCTTTTTCTTCTGGAAAACCCCCTAAACTTCCAAGTATTAGAACCCGCCGTCCAACAGAGGTAGTTTTATAGGTTAGACCTCGTGTTTGTAATCAAAATTACGTATAGGTCCGTTTTAAAAACTACAAAACTGCCACTACCTTCTATAGGCCATAAAATCTTTGTTTTAACTCCGATTTGACCCGTTCAACTTGCGTTAGGTTCGTAATTCCATAATCTACATGTTCATACTATTGTTAAGTATGTTTTCAACTCTTAAAATTCAAGGTTAGATTTAATCTATTATTTTACTAAAGGAAATCTTGTTTAATTCATAACTTTTTCGTTTTAGCTCTGATTTTTGTGATCTTTGCGTCTGTGTGTTCGTAGCGTCACGTAGAACAGTTTTAAAACCTTTTTAACTTCTATTTCTACTGTTTGGTGTATTGTTCTAATTAGCTTATGTTTGTTTGCTATGCCTGTATGTATGGGTGCCTGTGTAGACAGTGAGTTTTGTGTTGGTGATCTGGAGCAACTCTTTGAAGATCAAGACCAGCAGCGATACTTTGAATTAAGGCAAGTATAATATGAGGCTCCTTGTTAGGTACTCACTTTAATGCAAACTCAATTCATATGCATATGTTAATGAACCGCTTGGAGTCTACTTACCGTGATATTGATTATCCTGTCCTTGATTTACCTATGGGTTTTACATGTGGGTAGTATGCTCAGTTTGCTCCAACTAATATTGATTAAAGAATACAATTAAAGATATACGCGACATGATATTAAAAGATGCTTTTTAGCAACATGGAACTAAGGGGGCTAGAGCATTGGGCCTTTTCTTATGGTGCTCTAGTTACTCTCCATAAGGACTTATCTTTAAGTGACAACCCAGGACTTACAGTACAACCATGAGGACCACATGGCTCTGGTCTTAGTCCAGTACCTTGCTCTTTCTAGTTTGTAGCAGTTTATCAAAAGGGCAAGAGGGGCATACCAGGCTGGGTATGGGTCTCATCCCCAGAGTGTGTACTATGCTGCGTGTATTAGTGCCACTTTTGGAGATGACTCCATAACACTTGGGAGATGGAATCCTTAGCGGCTACTCCTTATTAGAACAACTAGGGAAAAACTTCGTAGTGTACCCTGCCTGCTCACCTTGAAAGTGTTTTGGGAGTAATTAACACGGGCATATGGGCAACACGACTCATGGTGAAAGTGTACAACCTCTGTAGAGTGTAAAACTAGTATATCAGCCGTGTTCACGGACAATAGCGGCCTGGATCCTTACTGAATAGTTGGTTACTTGAATGGTTTGGGTTATGACTAAAATTGCTGATATCTCTAAATATTCATATTCGGGAGCCTAAGCATAACTTAGCAACTTATGATTAATAATAAAATATGACCAACTAAAAGTGCTTACCGCAGTTCAGCCGAGTCAAGCCTTTTGAGCTTGCATTCCCTCATGTTATGCTTGCTGCGGTTGTAGCTTATGCTTGCTTTATTTCAATACTTTGGCAAAATCCTGGATGGGTACTAGATGGGGGTTCTTCAGTGGAGTTTTCCAAGTGGTGTTAGGCTTATGATCAACCAGTTGACGATTCCTGTGGTGTTGGAGGCTTCGCCAGAAGAATAGAGTTATAGTATATACTGTAAAGTAAGACTATGTCTTTTGTGACAAATATTTATGCGCCATGTAATAAAGGCATTGTCTTTGATATTACCCCTTTATTTGTAACTATATGTGTGAATTGAATTCTTGGGCACACAGTCGCCCAGGAGTTCGCAACGTCGTTGTGTGATCCGATCGTTTTGGAGCATTAGCTTCCTTGGTTTGTTATCCCTTCACTACTACATTTAGACCTATCACAAGCGGGGTTCGTAAAGTCCATCACTAGCGCTTTTCGGTCTCGATAGTAAGCTGTCGGTGGTGATGACATTCTCATCACAGGCGGTTTGCAACCAACGGTGATAATAGCTTATCACAGTCGGTTCGTATTATCAGCCGACGGTGATTTGAATTTTCTTCCCAAAAACGGGCCAAAAAATAGCAACATTTTTTGTTTCAATCCTAGGAAGCTCCCGCCCACTGGATCCAGCTTTATGGTACTGGGAAGCTGCTCTCTATATAGCATGTCCATTCCCCTAGTATTCACTTTTTAGGATTTAAAATGAATATTTAGAACCCTAAATGGCTTCAGATGAAAAAGTCATGAACTACAAATTTGTTATTCTAATCGAGATCTACAACTTTGATTTTGGTTGTTTCGCTATCCGAGGTCGTTTAACAAATTTGAATTTCAAAACGTCAAAACTTTAGCTAGACTTTTGGGACCTCAAATATTTCAAATGAAAAACTCATCAACTACAAAGTTGTTGTTCTCATTGAGATTTATAACTTTGGTTTTGGTCGATTTTCATCCACGGTTGTTTGAAAATTTTGGTTTTTAAAATTTTGAAACTTCAGATATAAATTTGAGACTATAAATGATTTTTTATGAAATAGTTGTCAACTATAAAGTTGTATATCTCATCGAGATCTACAATTTTGGTTTTAGTCATTTTTCCATCTAAAGTCATTTGTACAATTCGAAAAATTTGAATTTCAAAATTTGAGTGCTTCAAACAGAATTCTAAGACTATAAATGGTTTCAAATGAAAAAGTTATCAACTACAAAGTTGTCGATCTCGTCGAAGTCTACAATTTTTATATAAAGTTTGTTTTCATCTGACTTTATTTCAAAAATTTATGAATTTATTTATACTGCAGCATGGTTATCACAGTCGTATCATACAACAAACTGGCGGTGAAAATGTCTTTATTGCTGGTTCATATGGCGAGGTCGCAGTGATGAGGAGCACATTATCATCGCCGATTGGTGATGCAAAGTAGCTGTGATAATGGACTATCAACCCGCACGTTCTTACGAACCGGCGGTGATACTCTCATCACCAACAGTTCGTATTACAAACCCCAACGGTTTTAGTGATACCGACGATGATAAAGGTGTTGGTGATAGGTCAATTTGTAGTAGTGCTTGAAGTTAGCTGATCAGTTGTTAGGATTGTTGTATAAGTATGGAGCAGTTTGTTTAATGAAAGTTTAGTTAGAGATTAGAGTTAAGTCTCTCTTGCTCTCTGACGCTCTCGCACTCGCACTCACGTTCTCTCGTTCATCTACCCTAGACATCAGCGCCAAGCACGGCGCCGCCACCTCGCCGCCAGGCGTTCAAGCCTCGCCCCTCCACCTCTCACTCATACCCTCTACGCAACAGGCCAAGCTCCAACAATCTAGTATTAGCCATGTTCGGTTCTTGAG